ATATTGGCTCGTTCATCTTCTGATTCTGTTTCAACCTCAGAAGATTCTGAGTCACCCCACGTTGCCATAAGACTTTTCTTCTTTTCTTTGGAGAATTTCTTTTTAGGATTTTATTTTTATAGATTTAGGAAGTCGCTTTTGTAGTGACCTGATTCGTTTCATTCGTAGCATACTATGTCTTTGTTGCTATATTTTCTGTATCCAGAAGATGATTCAGAGTGATTTCCTGTTCTTCTGGGATTTCTAAACTTCCTCTGTCTGTGCTTACATATCTGATTGACTCTTTTGGAGAGAAGAGATAGTTCATCTTCTTCTGACGAGGATCCACTAGAGTTTTCTTCTTTTTCCTGAAAAGCTTTAGATTCATATTTTTTATTAGATTAAAGAGCGAGAGACTTACCTTGCTTCGGGGGCTCATCTTCTTCTAGTTCTATTTCATGACTTCTCAAGGAGCTGATAAGTTCTTCAAGAGACATTTTATTCAGATCTTTGGATAGTTTTAAGGCTGTGACCATGGGTCTCCATTTCTTAGGTAAGCTTCTGATGAATTTCTTAACATGATCTGCTATTGAGTACCCTTTGTCCAGAACTTTCAGCCCAATAACTAGAATTTGAAACCTTGAGAACATTGTTTCAACTGTTTCATCTTCTTCTATTTTGAAGGCCTCATACTTCTGAATGAGTGCAAGGGCTCTGGTTTCTTTGACTTGCGTGTTGCCTTCATGCGTCATTCATAATGATTCAAACATGTTTTTAGTTGATTCACTGTTTGTGATCTTCTCATACTCTGTATACGAGATAACACTCAAAAATATTGTTCTGGCTTTATGATGATTTCTAAATTCTTTCTTTTGTTGATCTATCATTCTCTTTTTGTCGATCTTCTGACCATTTTCGTCAACCAAATAAACGTATCCACCAGTTACTATATCCCAGAGATCTGTGTCATGAGCCTGAAAGAAGCTTTTGATTTTGTCTTTCCAGTAGTCGAAGTTCTCACCATTAAAGATTGGAGGTTTTCAGTTGATTTTGTCTTTTTCATCATGATTACCATTGTTGATGATCTGAATGGGTCCCACCATAGTGTTTTTCTTGCTAGGATCTTTTTCTGACACGGTTAAGTGTTTTCACCCAGAACCAGGTGCTCTGATACCAATTGAAGGATAGAAAAACACAAGGAAGGGGTGTTTGAATTGGTGTTTTAAAACTTAAACAAAATAACACTTTGATTTTATCCTAGTTCGTTTGAACTCAAACTACTCCAGTTCACCCGTCAAGGTGATTTCGTCTCTCTCAACGAGGTATTAATCCACTAATCAAATCTTTAAATACAAACATCAAAGACCACCATTGTCAACGTCTTCTTGAGACTAAACCACAACTTAGTTTTTCAAGGAATTTAAACAAATTAAAACAGAGATTGTGTTACAAAGATTGCTTCTAAAAAGTTGTATCACAACTGTGATGTTTACACAAGATTACAATATAATGAACAATATAAAAGTTAGAGAGATTTTTGAGTGTTACAACTGTTTTTGAATAAAGAAGAGCAACCTTTAAGATTATGAGAGACTCCTTTATATAGGCATAGTGATAGAGATTCGTTGGAGACATCAGAGTTTATTTTTGGAATGTTGACAAGTAAAAGTAAATGCTATTTCCAAAAATACAAATCTTGTCTTGATTTTTTCATTACTCCTTTGATTGTAATAATTGAATTGTAACGCATAAGAGTTTCCTTGATTGCTACCATTGATATATCAAAAAAAGCTTAATCGGAGTTTTAGCCTGTAACTTGGTGCTTCAAAAGATAGTATTAGAGCTTCTTATTGAGCGTAAAATTAGTCTAAGCTTGTTATGTTCTGTCCTTGGTTCTTTCATGAGATCTTCTTAAGAGATACTTTGCCAACTTGTACTCTCTTTATTCAGAACTTCTCTGCAGTTCAAATGAGACAATTAGAGAACATAATTATTCTTTATAAATATTATTTATTTGTTATCATCAAAATTATTTAAGTAAGGTGTAGAACCAAACTATATTCTAACTCATTATACACATTAAAGCATGGCAAAGCAACACCACATAATTCATTAATTTCATCATAAATCACTATATCATCAATTTATCATGAAACCACAAATAAACCCACATACATCTAAACCTCTATCAGCGGTGATAAATATATTAAACCCTTACATACCCATCATCATATATAATTCTTAGAGAGTTGGAACCTCACTCTTACCTTAGATTGATTGTTCCTAAGCTTCAACAATATATTCTCCTTGCCCTAGCTCTTTCTCTTCTCTCCAAAATGCGATTATACATAATGATCACCTCAACCTCACTTTTTCCTTATATCTTTCTTAACCCTTGGACCCTTATTAGGTTGTCCCATTCTTGCCCTCACTTATTCCATACAACATTACCGTTATGCCCCTAATACCTCTACACCAAATATTGTCCCTATTTAATAATTAAGAATAAATCTAAATAATTATAATCAATTATCCAATTTATTAATAATTATATTTATCTTATTAATCCAACACTTCCCCACAACATGCTATCAAATAATCTATTGCATCAAATAAATCACAATAACATAACTAAATAGTAAATATAATATTCAGGATGTTACATTCATCTTCATCTTCAACCTTATGCTCCAACATGTTTGAAAACTCTAAATAATTTATTGAGTGAAGAGACATTTAAACAATTCTTCAAAGAGAACTCAATAATGATCATTTGACAACCCCAAATAATTTCTCAACAAAGAGGATAAAGGTGAGGTCGACATCAATTTCAATCTGCCTGAAAGATCGTCTTCGACATTATCAGCCATAGTACCTAAAAAGCAGAGGATAGAGGTGAGGTCGACATTAATGTCAAAACCACCCTTCAACCATTAATCAAGTGAAACGAAGACCATGTCATCGACCAGAACCTTCATTAAGACATTTAAACGAACAACCACTTTCCCCAACTAGGCGAATTCCAATCAACAAAAAACCTAAATTCTCAAGGATCATCTACGACACATCGCGAAAATCCATGGAAGATCCACGATGGCTCTGGCGATTCTAAACTTCAGAACCATCGTCTACCACCAACACTCCCCAAGAACGTCCTGACAGACAAGATCCTAAGCCTAACCGCATGCATTTCTAAGAGGAAAATTGTGAAAATCTAAGCTACAATAGCTAAATAACAACGAAAATCTAGAATCTTACCAATTAAAGAAGGAAGGAAGTTGAAAGGAACGAAGACAAACATTTAATCTTCAAGAAACAACGACGATCGACAGGCGAGCAATAATGAGCAATGCGAGAGAAGAACGAAAAATTCAGAATGCCTTACTCCTCTCGTATTTATAGCTAAACTCGCTCGCGCGTGAGAGACACGCGCCCAGGGAACCGTAGGATCGTCATCATTGCACCCTAACCTCTAATGCCATCATTGCGCCATTACGTCAGCACACTGCCCAAAACACACTACCTCTTCAATTTTCGAAGCTCAAACGACCAACTAATCATCTCCTCGCAAGAAAGGCACAATGGGAGACGCTCACGCTCTCTGTAAGAAGCACCCCATTCCACGAGCAGGTTTTAAAGTCATCACTCTTGTGCCCAAAAACAACGACTTAGGGGACTACTGTTCTGGACTGGCCCAACGGCTAGAGTGGGCCCAGTCTGACCTCCTCCTTCAGCATGGCTCGTGCGACCACGGCCCGGGCTCCCCCGCCCTCCATCGGGCACCATCGATCGTTTGCCCTCCTAGATCAACACTGGCCTACGATAATCGACGAACGCCTCTCAGTCTGTCCGGCCTCAAGTCGGCCAGACAACCAAGAACCAACCAGACCGCTGCCCGGAACCTACCTCTTCCTCGAAATTAACGACTAGTTGCGGGTACACCTTCCTGATTTGACCAAGTCCTGGGAGTTACTTATTTTCGCGGACGCGTATATCTAGGCCCAAAAATAGGGACTAATGGCTAAGCGCCAGAGGCACTATATAAATCCTCACTCATGTGAGGATCAGAGTCGAATATTGATTGTTCTATCACTAAAACCTTAATACTTTGTTTGTATCTCTTTTTGCTCTCACACTTACTTGATCGTCGGAGTGCTTTGCAGGTACAACTCCCAATTTTTCTCCTCGACTTTTCAGCCCGTCTGAAGATCTTTAAAAAAGACTTTAAAAAGACCCAGCATTAACATTTGTCTTTATTACTTCATTTGGATTGAATCGGTAACGCATCCAACCAGATTTACAATTCAATTAGCTTTATAATGATTTAATTTTCAAAATTTATTTAATTATATAGTGTACTTATACCGTAGTTGTACCGATATTATATAGTATATATTAAAATTTTATTTGCCAAAATGCTAAATTTATAAATTAGTATTCTCATTTTAAAATTTTCACCTTTTTTAAGATAATAATTAATTATATTTATTTTAATGATAAAATGAGTTTTATTTATAAAAATAACTTTATTAATAATAAATAGTAAAATAAGTATATGAATTAAAATATAATGAATAAAGATAAATTACTAAAAATAAATGATAAATATTTCATTGATATTTTAAAAGAATAAATAATTTAAAACAAATAAAATAGAAAATAACAAAACTATTATGAGAAGGAGAAAATAACTTGTAATGATATAGCTTTAAGTTGAATGCATTTGCAATCGAGGTTGTACTCGGCAAACTTTGTACAGTATTGCAAAGTACATGAATCGATCGATGTAAACTTCAAAGGTTACGAACACACATAATTGTGCAAATTAAATTAACAAACTTAAAATACCAAATTTGAAAGAAGAAAAAAACGAAGTAGCATTGCTGAGTATTGAAACAAAATGAAGTACTAAAATCAGTTAGATTAAAGTCAATAAACAAACAAATAGAAACACAACCCAATTAACCTAAGACTAAATTCTCACAAACACACACCATTATTACAACAATTGAACCTTAACCCTAACTCGTCTCTCCCTCTTTCACTCCCTGTGTCGTTCCATTCACAGTAGAAGAAAAACAGCCGCGCGATCTACCAAAACTCAAACCTTCTTTCCTCGGAGAATCCAAACCCCTAAAGAAAAGATGTTTCACAGCAAGAATCAAATCGATATCAGATTTTTCAGGAGGACTCGAAGTTAAAGCTCTGAAATTCATGTGTCGCTTCAGCGCCTCATCAGTGCTAATATCTCTCTGCGATTTCACCGTTTCGTCTTTCACCGCCTCGACGCATAATCCGCAAATCCAACGGCCATGGTAACACTCACGAACACGATCAATGTACGGCCGTGTACACTCCTCCGTTAAGCCGCAACAGTAGCACTTGACGGTTTCAATCGAAGCCATCACAATTCAGAAACCCCCGAGAGATGAAACAAAACAAGCAATGATTATTTTATATATTTATGATTAATGATGATGGCCTAATACGTTTTCAAATTTTGAAAATTTGAAACGTGATCCAAGTGTAACGGAGGATTTTAGAGAAATTGATGTGATTTTATGACCTTATTGAGTTCGGAAGATTGTGAAATTAATGATGGTGCAATTATCGCTCCTTTTCCCACTGAATATCACCGTCGAAAAACAGAGCACTAAATAACGTATGGTGCATTTCAGAGCCTTAATTGCCCTCTGGAATATTTTTTATTTTGGTTTTGAATTTCAATTTTACACATGGTGCAATGGTTATATATATACTATTGTGTGTGTGCATGTTGTGTTTTATTTATTTATATTGGAAATTAGAAAAGATAAACTCGTGTGGAAAATGCAACATTTGGTAATGATTAATGAGGGGTTTGGTTGAAATGGTACGGTGAGTCCCATGTTACGCCACGTTGATTGTGGCGATGATGGAATATGGGAAGGTACGTGGCATTGTGGGATTTGTGGGGAAGGGTTTTAGTGTGATGGGTAAGACGGCAGGTTTGTTTTCTTTTATGGAGTTGCGGCTTAAAGTAGGAATGGTCCATTGACTATTTCACACTGCCAACTGTCAAGATAACTACGGTTACATTATGGAAAACGTGCATGTCACGAAATAATAGTTTAAAAATTGGATTACCGGTGACGATATTTGTTTCGTGAAATTCTGTTTAATAGTTTGAAAATTTATATATGTCGTGTAATTTTAATTCATATCATTTTTCTACAATAAGATTATTTTAATAAGTAAAATTCATTTTACTATTAAAGTTAGTATAATTAATTATTATAATAAAAAAATATGAAAATCACAAAGACAAATCTATCGTGAGACAGAGAAAATATAACAGATAAATTTAAATAAGTTTTCAATAAAATCTGATCTGACCTGATCAGAAATGGACTGTCACGGCTGGCTCCGAGCAGAAAGCTTTTTTGAACGAGGTGGGGGTACCTGCAAGGCACTCCGATGCTGAAGTAAGTAGGAGTACGAGCAGATAATAGTAAGTTGAGGTTAGAATGATGAATACCTGACCCTCTGGAAGCAGAGGGTATTTATAGCCTCCAGCGCTGGGCCAAGGTTCCTTCATTGGGCCGGGCGGATTTGGCCCAATGTAGGAACTGTCAGGTTCTACGTGGGTAGTGGGGACCCGCACGTGGTCCCCTTCCTGGATGTTCTGCGTGAAGTGCGGGCGGACGAAGACGCGGTCTTTCCGGAGTATCGTTGGGGGAACGGTGGACTGAGTCTGCCCTAGTTGGGATGCTCGAGGTAACGTTGAGCTGGACAGCAGGGTGTCGAGCTGGACGTCAGGACGTGGAGCTGGACGACAGGGTGTCGAGCCGGACGTCAGGAGGTGGAGCTGGACATCACCACGTGGAGTTGGACAGCGGGATGTCGAGCTGGACATCAGGACGTCGGGCACGGATGTGACCCCTTTGCTCGGCGTGGTCCTCAGTAAGTCCCTTTGGACTGGGCCTTAGCAATGCTTTTGAGCCTGTCGGGCCCAGTCCAGAACAGGAGCCCCCCAAGTCGTGGTTCCTTTGCGAGGAGTCATGACTTGAACCCAAGTTATTCCCTCGTTGAGGTCTCGTGCCCGGGATAGAGGTGTGGGTCCTCGAGGGGCCTCCTCGTGCCGTGCTCGGAGACGTCCTCGGCGGTGGATGCGCGGAGGATCCTTACCGGGCGCGTCGGTCGAGCACACGAGGTATCTTTCGGGAACTGTGTCGCCACCCTATGGGGGTAGGGTCATCATTGCGTTGGGAGCAGTGCGTCGAGGAGATGGAGTCCGTGGTTGCCCGATGTGACGTTTGGTATTCCACGTCATCACTATAAATAGGAACCTTAGGCCCCATAATACGTTTCTACTCTCTGTGCTCTCTCTGCTACTGCTCTTCCAGATTTTCTCCAGTTGCGACTTTCCGTCACAGATTCTTCCATTTCGTAGCCAAATCCCACTCTTTGATCCAAGTAAGTGATCTATCTTCTTCATTTTTCTGTTTAGAATGCATGATTTCTGGCGTTTGTAGATGTTTTAGGACCGTGCGCGTGGGATTAGCCCGGTAAACTCATGCTTAGCCCGACACATTCATGTCTAGGACCGGCAAACGCATGTTTGTGGCCGGCGCATTCATAGTTTTAGGTGATAAACTTCGGAGCTGCCCGGGGTCTTCATGATCCAGGGCGCCTGATTCATGATCGCGCCCGGTATGTTCATGGTCTTGGCCGTGGGCTTCATGGTGCGGCTCGCCATGTTCATACCTCGGGTCGACATGCTTGGAGAGTGGCCGCGCAGTTGGTTTGAGGAAGAACACCGGGTTCAGGATGTCGGGGAGGCAACCATTCGTGGAAACGGACTTATGTAGTCGTGCATGGGACGACGTAATTTTGTCGAGCGTAGGGCTTCGTGCTCAACTGACTGGTTTCCTGTGCTCTGCAGGTAACCATGGCGGACGAGCCGAGCTCCTCCGGACGCCGCGACCGTGAAGAACAGAGTGCCGACGAGTCGGTCACCCTGATTGATACCGTGACCGACCCTTTGCTGGAATGGGTGGGCGTCGAGCCACGGGGGATAGCGTCGGTCTACAGCCGGGATGACCGACATCCATTCGCTGTCATCGAAGAGGGTCAAGACCAGCCCGGCTTCCAGAAGAACTTCGTAGTCATGCTCCCGTCATCCCGTGCAAGGATTTGCTCGGTTTATCCGAATTACAGCTTCGCGATGTATGAGATCGCGTTCAAAGACCTAGGGCTGCGGCTGCCCTTCACTGATTTCCAGGTCGGGGTCTTTACGCACTTGGAGCTGGCCCCGTCCCAGTTACACCCAAACTCTCTCGCCTTCATCCGGGCGTTTGAGTTGACGTGTCGCTACCTGAGGATCGGGGCGACCATCCCGCTTTTCTTCCGGATATTTCACCTGCAGCGTCAGTCCCGAGGAGGGAAACATAGCTGGGTCTCCCTGAAGCAGTCGAGGAGACTCTTTAAGATGTATATGGACTCCATGAGGGGGTTTAAAGACAAGTGGTACGTGGTACGGCCAGTTACCGATGCTGCTTTAAATTCCCTTTTCGAGGAGGAGGAGCCGGTGAGCGACGAGGATGGGGAGGCGATGTTGGGCGACGATGGGAACCCTGTGTTGGGTCGTAGGGCTAAAGTCCCCGTGCACTGGATGTCCCGGCATTACGAGCATGGGACGGGTTATTACCATACCGCCGCCGGGGACATGTGCTCGGAAGACGAGCAGGCGTACGGCGCTCTTTGCCGGTTTGTCGATAGTTTCCATCCCGCCCGGTGGGTTACGCGGGAAGGGGATGATATCCTGGACAAAGATGGTTACCCAACGTTCCAGTCCCGTCCGATTGACACCAAGGCGCTGGTGGAGTGCCTGTCGTACAGGCAGGCTGCCCGCCTGTTAGGTTGTTTGTTGCTTGAAATTCTTTATTCGTCATTTATTTATGAAGTTTGCTCGATACTGACCTAACCTTTATTTTGTGCAGGTACGATGGCTAGTCGACATGAAAGGCTCTTAAAATTATCCTGCGACCAAAGGCAAGGCAGGAGGGTCGTGAAGGCCCCACAGGCGACGAGGATGGGCCCCCCACACAATCCAAATGCTCCTCAGCCGGTGAGGGTGGACTCGCCATCGAGCTCGGGGCCCGCGTCGGATCCAGAAGTCGAGGAGATCGACCCCAGTGCCGTTTTGATGCAGAGGAAGAGGACCCGTGTGGAAGGTGGTCCGACTGTCGGCGAGGACGCCGGTGCTGTTAAATCTTTCGCCTTCCCCCCTTGCTTCGAAGAGGCGGGCTTTTTCGAGCGATTCCCTCCGACAGTGGTTGCCCATGAAGCTGTGGCCATAAAGAAGATGAGTAAAGAGGAACGGAAGGCGTATCTGGCCGCCAGCATGGATGGGCTGGTAAAAATGGCCGAGATGGCTTTGGTGCTATCCGAGGATGGAGGGGATTCTGCCCTTGTTGAAGAACTCGAGCAGGAGAAGGCGGCCCTGACCGCGAGCTCGCGGAAGTTGAAGGTCGCTCTGGAACGCTCCGAGGGGATGTTCCGAGAGCAGACTGCGATGCTCGATGCTGAGAGGGAGATGTTGACCCTGGAGAAGGAGAAGTCGGGAAAGTTGACCGAGGAAGGGGAACTTCTTCGGGCCGACAGGGATCGCCTGGTGGCCGAAGTCGAACGCTTGGCCAAACAGGTCGAGGAAATGAATGTTGCCCTGCAACCTGCCGAGGACGAGCCCGAGGACATAGTGGCTTTGAAGAGTCGGGTGGAGCTGGTCGCCCACATCCGGCTCCTCGAGGTAGACTGCGTCGGTGCCCTGGAGGACGGGTTCAACTCTGCGGTTGGTCAACTCTCCTTGCTAAACCCTGGTTTGGTCACTGAGGGTATCGGCCACACACACCAGATCGTGGATGGCGTGATCGTTCCTCCGCCCGACTCTCCAAACGCTGACAACGATGATTCCGGGGAGGTCTGAATAGGATAGCGGGCCTGCGTGCCCTTGATATTTGTATTCTTTGGGCCTGTGTGCCCGTTTATTGTACGTTATGAACATCGCTGGCCTTCTTGGTCGGTTTATTATTGTTTTGTCGCCTTCGGGCCTTTATATCAATGCTGTTTTACACTTTGGATGTTTTGCCCTTGTATGAAATCATATGTTTGCATGAATTTTTAGCCTAAGTTACGGGCCCGAGGAGTGCCCGTAAGTGGCTTTGATTTGGCGAGCGAGTCTGCCCGCCTCCGTTTGTATGTGTTCCCGGCCCTATTTCGGTTGGCCAGAGTCACCTAAGTGTTGTGCTCGAGGGGAGAGATTTTCTTTTGACCCTTGTAGATGGCCCGTTATTTTCGATGGAATGTCGGGCATTTCGGAGCGAAGTTGCTCAGTCGGGCGTGGAGCCCGTTAGGGACGATCCAC